GTTGGCCCACCCTGGTCCCGATTCTTCCCACCCCAGGTGCCCGGACCTGGACTGACTCCAAGAACCAGCGATGAGCCCCCCTCCCTCCCCTCGAAGTTTGATCGTTTGAGTTCAAAAGAGAGAGACAGAGAGATTGTTCTACCACGCCGGACTTTCTCTTTAAGGAGGAGTTCCGAGAGCTCCTCTTCGGGGCGGGGACTCAACTTGCGACTCAGCCAGAAGGGGCTCCCTAGATTTTGACTGACAGGTCAACCTAGCGTTAGGGACCGGCTTTCCACCTCTCCCCAACTAGATTGTCAAGGATGCCCAGAGAGGCCTCAAGTGGACTTGGGGAGACCAAATTATTAGTCAGACGAAGGTTAGCCTCAAATCCCACCCCACTCTCTTCCTACTGTCCCTGGTGCCTCAGCCACTTGTAAGAAGAGCCTTCCAGAGCTGACAGCTCCCATCCAGAACAGAGAGAGACAGGCTTTTCTCCCAAGTTTCTCAAGGCCCAGGAGGCCCCGCTAAGCTTGACTCACTGCCCTGCCCTTCTACAAGGGCTTCAGGGTTTGTTTAGAAAGAATCAGAGTGAATTAAGAAGGCTTGCAGACTCAAAGCCATTGCTGCCTGGGAAGACTGTAGAGTGATGGGGACCTGACTGGACTCCTTTCTCCTGTTACAACTTGGGGCCCCTGGGAGATTCCCTACATGCCCTTACTTCTCATCACTCTACAACCAGAAGGGCAGGGGCAGGCAGAGGGCAGAGGCAGTCAGAGGTTACAGGCAGTCAGAGGGCAGGGGCAGTCAGAGGGCAGAGGCAGTCAGGGGTTACAGGCAGGCAGAGGATAGAGGCAGTCGGAGGGCAGAGGCAGGCAAAGGACAGAGGCAGGTAGAGGGCAGAGGCAGGCAGAGGTAGTCAGAGGAGTTGCTGGGATGGTTTGCTCTGGTTCTTGAATCTGGATGTAGGTGGCTAGCACTGACTTAAGCCACACCTTGCTTAAGTTAGGAATGTACCCAACAGTGGACAGCACACAGTGCACAGATTAGAGGAGGAGGACTGGGGATGCAGCTCAGAGGCTGTGCAAGAAAGCAGCACAGAGAGGGGAGAGGGAAAAACAAGCCTGAGAGTACAAACAAACGGACAGACACAGGCAGAGTACAGTAAATGTTAAAAGAACTTGTAAGGTTCAGCCGAATAGTTAGGGAATAGCTATGCATGTATGTGAGTTGTATGAATGGCAGTGAGATGTGTACATGTGTGTATATGTATGCACATGGGACACATACATGTGTGTGCATACTGTGTGTGCATGTTGTGTGGAATGTGTGCATATATGTAAAGTATATGTGCAGGTGCAGGTGTGTAAGATGTGTGTGTTATATGTACTGTGTGTTGATTAATATAAGACCTCTGACCCTCTCTTTCCCATGCTCCTCACTAAGTGAAAGTTTCCCTCTGGCACTCCATGAGGCTCTGCCACACCCCTTTGATCTGGAGCGGCCCCGCCCCCACCTACAAGAAGATCAGCCTCTCCTCATGGACAAGGAGTGCTGGCACAGGTCAGCAACATGGTTACCAGCAAGCAGTGTGACCTTCCCAGTTCCATCTTGGGGAATGCCTCATTTCTCCCCAGGCACACATAAGCTTGTCTTCTGACAGTCTAGAAGCTGGTCCCTGAGGATCCAAGTTAAGTGTGTATCCCAAGGTCCTGGAATGGCCATTAGGAGCCATGGGAAGCTTGGGCTTGTGGCTCATGACAAAGACATGTTGTGCTGGATAATTTTTATGTCAACTTGACACAAGCTGGAATTATCTGAAAAGAGACAATCTCATGAGAATGCTTCCATAAGATCCAGCTGTAAGGCATTTTCTCAATTAGTGATTGATGGGAGAAAGCCCAGCCCATTGTGGGGGGTGCCATCCCTGGGCTGGTGGTCCAGGCTGGTTTCTATAAGAAAGCAGGCTGAGCAAGCCATGAGGAGCAAGCCAGGAAGCAGCACCCCTCCATGGCCTCTGGATCAGCTCCTGCTTCCAGGTTCCTGCCCTGCTTGAGTTCCTGTCCTGACTCCTTTGGTGATAAACAGCACTGTGGAACTATAAGCCAAATAAATCTTCTCCTCCCCAAGTTGCTTTGGTCATGGCATTTTGATGAAGCAATGGAAACCCTAAGATACACATTTTATCCTCTCTGAGAAGTAAGCCACACAATGACTGTGCCAAGCTGGCAAACAGAGTTTCTAATGGGGTCCAAGCCTGGATTTGGGAGAAATGAGTTACTATCTCACCAGGAAACTCAGAGAAAAATCTCCCAATTGGGTGCCTTGATGTAGGCCCGAGTGGTAGGAGGGTGGGCTATCATTCCATTAGTGAGTTCCATGAGGATGTGAAAAACTTCAGCCATCCATGAGGCTTTCACTAAGCTCAGCTGACACTGCTCCACACACTGTCCCCAACCTGCATCAGGTCCACATAACAAGACAGCTCACTCTTCCCATCTACAGGTGGGGAAGTGCAAGTCAGAGAGGGTAAGGGGCCTACCTAGAGCACCAAATCTATGGCTCAACTCACTGTAGCAGAGCCCAGATGAGTGCCAGTCCCTGCAGCTGCTCACTAGACACAGGATTCTTATGCTTTCTTGGTATACAGACTCCAAACACCTGCCTCCCAGCAGGGGCATCCAAGCCATCCTGCTCAGGCACAGGTAACCCCATACCCAGCATTCTCCTGTGCCATTGGCATCTCATTATAATGGAGAATCCTTGGAAATCTTATTGTTCAGTCTGTTTGCCAGCATGACTCTAGGCTCTAAGGAGTCTACAGGAAATAAGCCACCCATTGGCCCCATCTAAACCAGCCTGCAGTGTTGCACCAGGATTCCATGATCATGGGAGTGGTCCTATGTTTACATCTTTCTTTTTCCATCTTGCCTGGCCATATGCATCTGCTAGTGACACTCCAAAATGGAAGGGTTGACCTCCATCCAATGTCCCTTGCATATCCCAGCCAACCATACATGCCATTACCCTTTCTTGTAGAACACAGTCGTACAAGAAAAAAGAGCTCCCATTATCATCAGGTCAGCTGTGTCCATTTGCAGGAGTCCATCATGATTGGCTTGTGGACTATTATTGCTATGTTCTCATGGAAGGAGTGGTGGGGAAGGTCATGGACCTTTACCTGAGACTCCAGGGGAAGGAGAGGCAAAGGGGAAGCTCTGAGGGATGGGAGGTGATTCTCTCCTCCTGAGAACATATGGTCTATCCCAGACAGCTGTCCTCACACACATTATAGGCAAGGTCCTCTGTGTCACAGGCCTCTGTGGCTCTCCTCTGTGTCACAGGCCTCTGTGGCTCTGTAGTAGGTACAGAAAGTCATGAATGAGCTGTGGCTCTGAGTCATGGTTAGGGATGCCTATGCATTGTGCCCAGGAAAGAGATCCACCCATCCATCCATCCATCCATCCATCCATCCATCCATCCATCCATCCTTCTGCTGGTATTCAGAGGTCAGGCCAATGCCACAGTTTCACATGCCACTAACTGTAAGACCTGGACATATGAGTTCCCTGTCTGATGCTTGTCACCTGTGAACCTAGGTGATAAAACTGACTCTGAGATTCCCAAAGACTCAGATGAGAAGGTAGGTGGCAGATTTGGGACAGTGGGGCTGGGTAGCCCTGGATTTTCCCTCTGTGTGTTCAGCCACTCCCTACACCAAGCTGTTTCCATGTCCTGTCCACCAAGACTGGCTTCTTTAACCTAGTCTGGCTAGTCTTTCCCCTCCAGTGCCAAACAAGCCTTTAAAAATGATGGGATTTCCAGGCAAAACAGCCCAGGAGACAGTAGGCCGACTTTTGGCATGAAAAGCAAGTTTGCAGGGAATCAGACGACAGCGTCCTGAGATGCGTTTTCCAGACGGTGGCAGCTGGCGCACAGACGTCTCCAGTAGCCTGTTTTACAGAGTGGGCTTCAGATTGCAGGCCAAGGAAAATGTCCATGGGAGAAATTCCTGTTTTGTCTTCTTAAGAACTGTCTGCATGTAGAGATAGTGTCCCTACTGCAGAGGACTGTTCCCAGGATCAGTGAAGTCACCTAAAATCACCCAAATTCCTGCAGGTCTGTGATGACCCTCCCACACAAGGATCTGATCTCATCTGATCTGCCCCACGGGGCTGCATGTGCATGGTGGCCAGGATTGTAGGCAGTTCATGCAGAGCCAGTCAGCCCTATTATGTGGGGAGTTAGGGGATGAGTAGAGTCCCAAGAGGAAGAGGTCTTTTCATACCTGCACTCAGAAAAGATCTCTGGCTCCTTTGAACAGTCACTTTTAGGAAAGTGTACTGATTAGTTTTTGTTTTGTTTTGTTTTGGTTTTTTGTCACCTTTACACTAACTACAGTCATCTAAGAGAAGGGAACCTCAGTTGAGGAATTTCCTCCCTCAGATTGCCTGTGGTCATATCTGTGTGCCATTGTCTTGGTTGTTGATTGATAGGGCTCAGCCCACTGTGGGTAGTGTCATCCCTAGACAGGTGGTCCTGGGAGATATATTAAGGATAGCTGAATGTGAGACTGGGGACAAGCCAATCATCAGCCTTCCTCCATGGTCCCTGCTTCAGTCCCCACCTTCAGGT